TTTTCTTCTATTTTTCATCAAGAAAATTCAAGATTTGGTTTTTTGAGTTCATCACTCAAAAATCTTGATTTCTCTTCAAAATCCCATTACAAAATTTTTTTTTAAGCATTAATCCACTTCAAAATTTGCTACCTACTCTTTTTTCCATCATCTTTCACTACTTCTCTCAACAAATTTTGAAAAATAAAAAATTTCTCTCACTAAAAATTGAAGATTCCGAAAATAACCCTGCCTCCAAAGAAGAAATCAAAGAAAGGGGAAACAGCTCATTAAATGTTGAAGATGACACACCCATGCCCGACCGTTTCAACATTTCAATATGTCATTAGATGATGAACCTTTTCTTAAGCCCAAACATATCGATGTCATTAATATCAACACCCTTAAACGTATGAAAATCGTTAAAGGCAATGGGTAATGGGTGTGTCATACTCAAGGCTTCGACAATAACTTAGGGCCTACTACTTGGCCATTCACTTTAGAAGAGGTGGAAGAAAAAATGGGTGGTCATGGTTGCGATGGTGATGAAGGTGATGATTCTCCTCGAGTACAACATAGGGGTCCTACTCCACAAGTAGCACTGACCCCCGGCCGATATATGATCGAAGATCATTTCAACATCCTACAAGGCCAAATTCATTCTCTTACTACTACCGTCAATGCGCTTGATCAACGAATAGAGCAAATGAGTTTATCTCAAAAGGCCTTCTTTGCACACATGTATTCCATTTACCCTCGTAGGCCTATTCCACCTGTGGAAGATTAAAACGTTATCTCTCAGTTCTATTTTCGTTTCTGAACTCATACTTTATTTTTCACGTCATGACCTATGATTACTTTCACTTGTTGTTTCTCCTAACTTGCACCTATGCCTCAATTAAGGGGGAATTTTGCTAGCTTCATTGTCCCCATTCCTTTTTTATGATGCCAAAGGGGAAAAAGGATAGAAAATGTGATTGTACTTGTGACTTGTTTTGTTATGAACTATGACTTGCAATTATAATTTGTGACTTCAACTATCATTATGGAATTTGTGAGTTCAATTATTAAGTGTGATGACTTCTAGATGTGATTTACT